CTGACCAAACACAAAAATAATTGGTTGAAAGAGGGAGAAAAACTAGGTGTAGATGGAGACTTTGATCTTACCTTAGTGTTTAATATTATAATTAATATTCTTAAAAGGTAAAAACAAAAAAAGGGTTCTTAAAAGATATACAAAATATCATCTCCCTTCTATATTTTGCTTCTGTCAGATATTGTGACATTTTCAACACTGAATATTTTAGCGTAGATCCATCTTGCGGGGCGTCATCAATTGAAAGTTTCCAAATATTAATTCTAAAAAGAAACCCAAAAAGGCTACATCTTGGATCCATATGGGCAGCATGTTCTTATCCTTTTGAACAAATAAAACTACAAAAAGCGAAAATTTGTCGCCATTCTGCAACAGTAACACTTATGAATTTTTTAGTTAAAAAGAAAGAAAGATAAATAAAAACCATAAAAATTACAAAATTTCAAATCAGTTACGACACTTGGGTTTTTGATAATAATTGATTTGCATATAATAACACATTTTTGTGAAAATGTCTTATTTATGATTTTACAATTTTCACAGTTTTTTTGTCATGTTTTTTTAAAAAACACTTGTGAATTTTTATGTACATAAAATGTAATGGCCATCATGTATGTATATAAAAAAAAGGTGAACGCGGGCATGCTGTATTAAGAGGAAAATATTTTGTGATTGTCCTAATAATTTTAATTCACATCATTGACGTGAAGTCACGAAAAATTATATTATTAACCAAACCTTCATATAAAAAATTGTTTAAGAAAATTATTAGCCAATATATATAATATATAATACATAGGAAGTCCCGAGTAAAAAATATAGATGGTTAATACATATTAAAACTAAATTTTCTCATTATATTCTAATTTTTTATTTTAAATTATTTAAGAAACAAAATAATTATATTTTTTTAAAAAAAATTAGATGGAAGTATAGACCAATTGAAAACCCAAAAGCAGAAGAGATATGTTGGGTTTTACCAAGTCCACCTTGGGAGGATTAGGACTCAAATCCAATATAAGTGGGGCTATTATGTGAATAAAAATAAAATATGGGTCTAGATAAAGAGTTTTATCTATTAATTTTAAAAAAAAATTCCGATGCATCTATTAATTTAAAATTTAAATTGTGATAACGTCCCATAAGTGAGTCATGGGATTATATACGATTTGGGGGAGTAAGTTTTTATATGTTGAACAATAACTCCCATATAACTTTTGTCTTCTTCCTTTCATTTTGTCAGTGTATTTGCTGTATATCTACGTATCATTCGTTTTGTAATTCTACATCTATCGAATTGCTTATTGGATCCCACATATCCCCCAAAATCCTTTAAGAAATATTGGGATAAAAGTCATTTTACCCCGAAAGCTTTTACAAAGAAGCACTAATTGCTTGGAAGTTTTTTTAATAGCAATATTGTCCTAGAAGTTGCAAAAAGGGAGCACCGTAGACCTATTTGGAAGGAGACCCAATGTTTTTCATTAAGTGACATGGTATCGCACAAAGATGGAATCCTGGGAACGACGTGGCATTTAGTTAGATGGGTAACATGGAGGTAGGATGGACACATGTAAAATGAAATAGAAATTAGATAAGGATAAGAAAAAGATGTTGAGGGAGAAAGACAAAAGGACTCTGAGAGTTTTATATGTTGACAAAAAGTAGTCATTCTGCTAAGGTTAGAGGAAGTGTGAAGTGGGAGTGGAGGTAGACTGTTGCGAGTCTCAATGGCGTATGAGTAAGGAAAGGATGAGATGAGCACATAGATTCTTCAATAGGTAGGTAAGAATCGAATCTTTTTTAGTGTTACCATGTAAAAAAGTGTGGTTGGAAACACTTTTTTTTTTTTCTTCTTTTGCAAAAGGTAAAGTTCATATTAGCCTTTTGTTTGTTTTAGACTAAGTTGGCTTATTTGTTAATTAGTTGTTGTTTTTTGGTTAATTACTCTCTTATTTAAGATGGTAATGGCATCGGATAGTGGAAAGAGTGGTCTCATTGATGGTTTCGAATCTAGTCTTGATTATTAGTGTTATTTGGATAGTTTGTTGTATGAGTTTAATGAGAAGAAGAAAGAGAAAAAGAGTGTCTATGCAAGGGGTTATGAATTGATTATAGCATATGGGTCATCTCTTGTCGATAGTGGGGTGAAGTGTACATAGGGCGTCAACAAGAAAGGAGAAGTTGAGGCAAGTAAGGGGGAAGGGAAGTGTGTTGAGGAAAATAATAGTGGTGAAAATAACCATGATAATTATAAGGATGATTAGGATGAGATGGATTAGAATCAAAACATGGTATTAAAAATCAAGTCGGACCGGTCAATTTAGATCGGAAATCGGCGAACCAGTCACTTGTTCAATCCGATTCTTTTCAAAACCGGAAAAAATCTAACTCGAAATAAACTGTTTTGGACCGCTGTAACTCGAATAGAACCCGGCTAATCCATTGGGTTGGCGGTTTACCTGGGTTGCTTCCTTTTCTCTCCCAACCGTGACACCACTTCCTCACTAGAGAAAGAAAAACGAAAGCTTGCAAAAGAAAATGAGAGAGAGAGAAGTGTGCAAATGAAGAACAAATTTAAAAGTAAAAAACATGAAAGAAATTACCTACCAATAATGAAGAGGAGAAGGAGAACAATGATGAGAAGGGCAAAAAATAAGACACCAGCCAGATTTTTGCAGAAGATGAAAGAACACAAGGAGAGGAGAAAAAGAAAAAGAAGAAAATGGCTGAAAGAAGAAAGAAGGGTTTGTGTGGGGGATTGAACGTAATATCATCAATGTCAAATCTGCTGCTGTATGGCGAAAATACAAAGCTGAAAAGCTACATAAACAAATAAATGCAATTTTAATTCCAACCTCCAATGCAATTTAGTTGCTTAGTTGATAATAAATTAATAATATTAAATGCATGGGTATAACCATATATGTCCAACGGATACTGAAAAAAAAAAAATATAGGTCTAGCCGTCTAGAAGCAAAAGAAAATCTTATCTGGCCACTAATTTTTATTATTTAAAAAAATTATTATGATTTTGGCCTAATATTATTTTTTATTTAAAATATTTACTATATAATTAAAACTTTTATTATTTTAGTTATAACCGGTCTGATTTTGGTTTGACCTCAATCTTATTCACTAACCCTTAATCCACTATCTTGACCGGTTCATTAGCCGGTCCAATTTTTAATTCCTTGAATCAAAGAATATACTTCTTAGAGATTTTGAAAGCTAAACTGATTAAGAGATAGAAGGAAATACATACATAAAAATCAATCGATTCACCAAAAGTTCATACATTACTTTCCTAGTTCCAAATAATACAACCAAGGTTTCATACATTACTTTCGCATTTAAAAAAAAAAAAAACCTTCAGGCCATTATTCTTCTTCATCTCACCAACTATTGCCTCAATATCGCCATATCTATTCCTCTGTCCAGTATTTTCCTCATGCAACCTTTTGACATGCCCATGAGCTCGTTTATCACCTCTATCACCCTGTCTCCTATCTGCTCATCATAATAGTGAAAATCTCCATAGCCCCCTCCTTGTTCATTGCAAATAGAGCGTTATATATCACTCTAACGTAGCTTATAACAGAGCAGTAACAACACGAACTTGCTGATAATTTTGATACCCATAGAACTCTCCCATTTCTCCTCTTCTATGCTCTTCTCCACCAGTGGGTTGGTGGACTTTCGTGGTGCCTTTAAACTCGCCCTAGCGAATACAATCCTCACCAAAAAGCTTGAAGGGAAATCGGCATTTCGTCTGACATTGATGATGGGGATCGCTAATCCACTGGGGCTCATCTACGTGGCAAAACTTCCAACCTTGCGCAGCAAAAGTTCCTATACGGAGAACGTCTGTTAGGTCTCCGTCCAAATAGATCCCCATTGCTCCCTTTTTGCAACTTTTCAAGGCAACACTGCTATTAAATAAAAAAAAAAAAAAAGGGCTTCCTCGTAAAAACTTTCAAAGCGAAAGTAACATTTATTCCAAAAATACTACCTTTAGTCCTGATTATAATAAGAACCATTTGATTAATTTGAGGAGATCAAGAAAGTAAATTGAATTAGTTATTTGCTTTAAATAAGTGTTGTCTTTCTTAAAATATCCCTATTAATTAAATGTATTGACTAGAACTATAATTATTAGAAGGACTATCTTGAAATATGAGAAATAAAGTGGATTGGAGTCTTATATTTAGAACCAAAATAAAAATCAAATAGAATATTATATTAAGGATCGGAAGTAGTATTTAAGAAGCATTCAAAGACAAAGGCAGAAATAAAAGAATAAAAATGAAATATGAAATAAAATTGTGGACTAAATCAAAATTACACGTAATCCAAGATGCTTATCTAATCTTATTTATAAGGTATTTTTAAAATATTTTTTATAAATAAAAAAAAACCTTAAACAGTATTAATTCTTTATTAAAATATAGTAACTTTTCAATACTATTCCTATTTAATATATATACTTTTAAAAAAATAATTATTCACATTATAATAAATAAAGGACAATATAATATATTCATGATAAAAATTTAATGAAATGACTTATTAATAGAACAAAAAAAAATCTTTCTTTATGCTATAAATAGGAGCATAGTAGGATGAAACAAAATTAAGAAACGGAATCAAAATTAAACAAATTGAAGAGCTGAATGTAATATTGGAGAAAAAAATTAATGAGTAATTAAAAAAGTAATTTTTGTACAGGTGACAGATTTTTGTATTAAAAAATGTAATTTCTTTTCTAACATGCACGGCTCATCTTTAGGCACGATGTAAGATACACGTCAGTTGAAAAGGTAACCTGAAAATTGGAAAGAAAATGAAAGTAAGTGTCCCAAAAATATATACATATAAAACATGTTGCCCAAAAAATAAAAATATAAAAAATATAGGGGACAAAATAATACTTTAAAGAGGGAAAAAAAAATATTATTTCACTTTTATTTATCATTTCCAGATCTTCAGTTCCTCAAAACCCTGATTCTGCCAAAATCAGTTTGAGCCTCGAAAAACCTATCTCTCTCTCTTCCCTCTAAACTTCTCAACGATTTTGTCATTCAACGCCTTGATCCCTTTATCGTCTTCGTCAAAGCTAAACTTCCATCAAGCCGAAGGTTGGTTCTTCTTCTTCCTTTTAACTGAATCTGATTTTGTTTCTCCTCATTTTGATCCGTTATATGATCTTCGTCAAATTAGCAGCTCTGGTGATTGACGGAGGATGAATTTTGTGTGTTTTTTGTTTCGCTTTTGTTCGATCGTTGAACTTGGTGATTCAAATCCTGCATTATTGATTATCGAATTTGCTGGTCGGGAATTAGAAATTTTGGGTCAGTTTGGATTGGTTTCGCTTAATAGGATGAAGTATAATGGATCCTGTAGAGCGCGAAGTATAATGGATCCTGTAGAGCGCGAAATGCTTGCGATACTTTGGTTCTCATCCTTTTTCCTCATCTGGGAGATGGTTGTGATTTTCAATCTTACGGTTACCAATTTCTCCTATTGCGCAACCATTAGCGATCGGTTGACATTGTGAAGGCGGAATTTGAGTTGATTATGCATGCTATTGAGGAAATGCAATGACGTTGCTGCTTGCCGAATTTATTAATTTTGTCGTCGAATTGCATGAGATGATAGCCGGAAATGTGTTGGGGGCCTTCAGGCGGAACATGAATTTGGCTTTTAACTTAGACTTCGAGTGGGCATCTATGTCCATCTGCTGTGTTGTGTCAGAATATCTCTCCCTCTGCCATTTCACCTCTCTTCTCTTCCCTACCTTGTTTTCTTTTGTTTACTAGATTATTAGAAGGTTACCATTGAACATTGCAGCAATTTACAAGATGCCTTTAGATTCTGTTCAATAGAAAGTTCAGTTTTATGCCTCATTTTGTTGATGATAGGACGCACACTGCAACTGCTACATCCTTCTGTTTTTTTTCCCCCACCATTGATTTCTCTGAATTTACTTTTTATACATGGTTAAAGAAGTTATTCGGTGGGGCTGAGATGAATTCTTTCATATGAATGGTAGGATGAGAGTTCTGGCAGAAAGTTGAAATTGTTTTGATTATTTGGTTGAACTGTTGGAGGCATAGAAATGCTGAAGAATGCGAATGGGCACTAATTAATTTTATCAGATATCTTGCGGTTGATAATCTGCAAATTTGGACTGTTTTCATTTCTGATATGGTTGTGCTTGTCATATTAATTTGAATGAGATGGTGGGTGGGTTATGTTGCGCTGATCTTATGTATTGCCATGTCGGGATTTTATCTGCTTGGTGGCATTTTGTTCGATTGCTAGCGTTCTTTTCACTAGAATAATTAATTACTGTTTTCTCTGTTTACTGGTTTTAAGATATAGGTGGTTTTCTAGGGCTGTTATGATCTTCTCCTGTGTTTCACTTTGGTTTCTTTCCTTTTCTTCTTGGATCACCTTACCTTAGTAGAACTGAGCAATGTCTTTCAGCATCTAACATTATTTTCTCTTAAGAAAAGGATTGGAGGGCTTATTTTTTAAACTGCAGGCCATCTTCATTGGTTTGGGAGTAACGCAATAAGTTGAATATGGAGTAATCAGATGTTATATGTTTCTGTTTAAGTGAGTGTTATGAAGCCAGAGTTAATTCTGGCCACTAGTTTTTGGCTACATTAAGAGAAGGAATCAGAGAACTGAGAACTGGGTATTAACTTACTAGCAGTTTAGTGCTATTGATTGATGCTAGAAACATTTTTGGTGTGGTGCTTAAAAGTTAAAATATTTACTGTTTTAAATTAGGGTTTTCATGCGCTAACAACTTGCTGCTCTCAAGTCCGTGTCTATGTGGAAATTCATGCGTAGGCCGTAGAGTATGTAGTTCATGCACTAGCAGTTCCATGCTTTCAAAACCATGACTAAAGATATGATCTACCTATATGGCTGCCAGTCAGTTTAAAAGCTTCTCAATTACCATGTTCCTGCCCAGTTTTTTTGGATAGGTTCTCATTTTCATACTTTCAGGTGAGTTATGTAAAACTATAAATGGAGTAAACAGCCAGAGTTCGTTTTATACGGTAGTATCTAGGAGAGAATAGGGTATTGCAATAATCTGATCTCATTTTACTCTGCGTTAGCACTGGACACATACAGCTAGGTAGTTAAGTACCAAGCCATGTCACAGGAAGCCTATGGGACTGGGTCTATGCATCAACCATGGTCACTGCACATGAATGAAGCCACCTGTCACTGGCATCAAAGGGTCCTATTATTCTTATGATTAAGTTATTTTATTCATGCGTGAAACTGCAGATATGGATTTGGAATAGTTAGGAAGTCCCTACTGCCTTTTCCTTTCCCTCTCATTCTTCTCCCTTGAGAGAAAGACTAGTTATCTTTTTAATTTTCTTTCTTTGCTATTAGTTTACCAGTTTGTCTTTGTTCTGGTTTGCTGCGTTAGACAAGGATTAGTGACAATTTCTACACTGTACAAAAATCAACACTATTGTTCTTGACCCTCTAGCTAGGTATGAGTTTCCTACAATGATTTCACCCTCCTCTCTCTTGGCTTACTTATAATTATAATCTTACAATTAACAATCGCCTTTTTTTTTTTTTTGGGGAGGGGGGTGCAGGTTCTGAATTATCTGAGATGTGCTGCCACTCTTGCAGCATTCATTTTTATCCTTTAACTATGCTTTCTTGCAAGCAGATCTGTGCTTGCATGCAGTGGTGTGGATATTAACTAAAATGTTGACTGTTAAAGATGTTTGATCTTTTGGTTTGTCGTATGTTGCTATTCTCCTGATTTGAAGTTAGATGAAGTCTCTAAATTATTTCTTTTACTGTTGCAGAACCTTTTATGCCTTCAGCTGACATGTCTCCTGCTTCCCGTTCCAAGTCCAAAGACAAGAAGGCAGGTAAGGAAGCCCAGAAGGGTTCTGCTAAGCCTTCAGGATCTGTTAATGCAGGGGCTGCTATACCAGCTAGTGCATACAACCCATTATTAGGAACATTTCATACTCTTGAAATGTCACCAGTGTTATCTACTTCCCTAATTCATTCTAATGGCCGTTTTCGCAATGTGGATGAGACGGAGGAGCGTCCTGGGGTGTCAGTGATTGCTGGTGTTGATTATGATTCTGTTTCAAATAATGATAGTTGGTCTGGTGAGTCAGAGGACCACAAGGAGAAGCTCTCCAATCCTCCTGCTCAATTGGAAACAGTACCTGGAGCTGATATTGATAAGCGAGAGAAAATCCGCCAGAAAAATGAGAGAAAACATCAACGCCAGAAGGAAAGGCGAGCCCAAGAATTACATGAACGTTGCAGTGGCTATCTTATGTCAAGGAAACTGGAGGCCCTAGCTCAACAGCTCGTGGCTATGGGATTTTCTCATGAACGAGCAACAATGGCATTGATTCTGAATGAAGGAAAGATGGAAGAATCAGTCGCATGGCTGTTTGAAGCGGGTGAGGAAACAGACAATCAGAAGGATAAAAACATAGGTGGAAGTAATTTAAAAATTGACATATCAGAAGAACTTGCTAGGATTGCAGACATGGAAACCAAGTTTAGTTGCTCAAAACAGGAGGTAGAAAGAGTAGTTGTGGCCTGTGAAGGAGATCTAGAAAAAGCTGCGGATTCCTTGAGAGAACTAAAGCTGGACCCGCCATTTGCTCCCCCAAAGCCGGAGGAAAATGGTGATACTCCAAGTGTTAATAATGGTAAGCAGTTAGGGGTTGCAAGTCAGAATTCAAGGCCACAAACAAAGCCTATTCCTTCTCCCAACCAACTCAAAAAGGATGAGAAGGATTTTAACTACACAAAGGCAGCAATTATGGCTGGGGTGTCTTCAGAATCCAGTAATAAAAGCGTGCAGCCTTTAAAGAGAATTCAGCCTAAGTCAGAATGGGCCAAGCCCCACCAAGCTCCTATACTGGCCGACAAAAGGTGGCCAAGTGCGTCATCTAATCCTTCTGTGTCGTATTCATTGGCATCACCTTTGCAGGTGGCAGCGGCCCCATCTGGTAAGTCTGAAGCCCGATATATGGCTGCTGGAGGTGATTACAAAAACCTTCAACCTGGAGCAGCTAGGGAACCCTTAATGGTCATGCAACGGCCTCAAACTGCAAATGTAAAGCAGGTTCCAGCCACAAGCATTAGTTCTTCCAGTATAGCTGCAAGTTGGCATCCGAACGGTGAGGGAATAAGGTCCAATGGCTTTTTACCGCAGGCTTCTAGCACTAGAAGCCTCAATGCAAGCTATCTCGGTTCAAATCAGATGCACTACCAACTTCATTATCAGCCTCAGCAGCAGTTTGTCCCTGGTAGCAGCAACTCAATAGATCTCCAAGCCACTAGCCTAGGGAACAGAACAGGTGCTTCACCAACACTCGCAGCTGCCGCTTCTCTCGGACTCTTTTCGGGGTTAGGATCAGCAGCCACATCCGGGGCATCATCTCCAATAGACTGGAGCACTGGAGGGTCAATGCAATTTGATTATGCCAACATAGACTGGTCTTTAGATAGAGGTTTATCTTCACCAAGGTCAAATGCATTATGGGTAGGGCTCTCACCATTCACAAAGGATAGTTGTTCTAATATATGCAGCTCAAATGCTTCTGGGTTTGGCGGTCAGCCTTCAATGAGATCAGCACACTCAAATAGGAGCATTGTTCCCCTGCCTGGATTGCAGGATGGTGGAATAGCTTCTGCTGAAGCATCTGGTGGTTCTAGTAGGGAATGGAGTTCTCCATTTGAAGGGAAAGATCTTTTCAGTTTACCCAGACAGTTTGTTTCTTCTCCTTCGCTGTAGAATGAGAGGGAGAGAAATCAAATAAATGAAAAGATGACAGGGAAAAAAATGTGTGGATTTGATGTTGGTTATGATGCCAGTGTTGATGTTGGTGGTAAGCTTGCAAGCATCTAATTCTTTTCGGGCGTTGCTGTGATAAGTTCGACTTTCTGACATATTTTGAGATTGTTGGGCTTTAACTACTTTGAAATTCTCACTTTCTGTAAATGAAGTTTGAATTTCAAGGTCGGTTCGACGGCGGAAAGATGAAGGATCCTCTTGAAAGTCGAATTTTTCACAGCATTTTTCTTTTTGTGGGGTCCGAGGCTGAGTTGCGTGCACGTATGCCAGATCCACGTTAAACAAAATAATTAAAAAAGAATTTATCAAGTAATTTTAAATTAAAAAAAGAGAATCTATCAGGTAATTTTAAACTATCGAGACAAAAAAAAAACAAAAGTAATTTTAAACTAAAAAAGATAGTGAGAAGAGAGAAAATTTTGAAGACATAGGAAGACGTCCGTTTAATTATTTTCTTAATAAAAATCGTCGTTATTAATTAAGCTACATTAATTAGTTATGAGGTGAGGGGGGGGGGGTAGTAGATTTCAATAGCTTTAGGGCAATGTTTTAAAAGCCGGACCGGAAGTCGAACCGTAAAGATCAACGGGTCATGGTTCAATCGGTCGGATCGGTCGGACCGTTCGGTCAGACCGGTGACGCAATAATTAATTTAAAAAAATATTATATACATGTAATTAGTATATATGAAAAATATCAAATTATTAAATAATCTAAAATTATAATAAAATCATTGAAAATGGACTAAAACCTTATATATTTAATTTTATGTATGTTTAAAATATTTAATGATATTACAAATTATCAATTCATTCAAATCAAAATATTTTTTTTAAAAGATAGATCAAATATCGAAACAAAAAGACTAGCGACTCACGATTTTAACACCACAATATATGAAATTTTCAATGAAATAATACTATATGGTTATAACTAGTCTAAAAATATATTAGGATATTTAAGGGGATCAATTTTTTTTATTTTTCTTCTATTTTTTGAAATTTTTTTAGTATTTTTCAGTCAGGCTAAAAAACCGTCCGGTTTTTTGAAAACCGTTCCGGTTCCCGGTCCAACTCCGGTTTCCGGCTTAATAACGGCTCAACTCCGGTCCAATCCGGCTCAACTATATGAACGGTTTTTTGGTCCAAACCAAGCCGTTAACGAGTCCGGGTGACGGTTTAACCGGTCCGACCGTCCGGTCCGGTCCGGTTCTTTAATCATTGCTTTAGGGACAATTTTGAAAGAATAATACAATATAAATTATTGGTAAATTTATTGCCACCGACCAAATTTACTGACATGTGCACGGCTTGATGAGCGTGTCTGTCTATACGCCTATCGGCCTGTATCCTCGTTTTAATTTTTTCTTGATCTTGCATAGGGATGACTCTTTATAAAAAGAGTTTGATTCAGCTTTTGTAATTTATAAAACGATTTTCATGCTTAAAAAGTCAACTCTATTTTTTGGCTGTTGGTTTAAAAAGTTAACTAAAAAACTAATTTAATATTTAATTTGGTTCTAAATATAAAATTTTAATCTATTTTATTTTTTTTTATTTTTATACATTTTTTAAAAAATAGTTCTTATAATAGTTGTATATGTTAAAGTTTTCATCAAATGATAGTTCAACTAATATACATGATTAGTGAGAGTATTTTAAAAAAAACCTATTTATTATAGATAATTAATTTAACTACTACCTCCAGTTCTAATTATAAGACCTAGTTGACTAATTTGAAAAAATTAAGGAAGTAAGTTAAGTTAGTTATTTGTAATAAATAAGTGTTGTCATTCCTAAAATATCCTTGCTAATTAAATGTATTGGCTAGAACTATTATTATTAAAAAGACTATCTTGGAAAAAAAATACATAAATATGAGAGACAAAATGGATTAGGGTCTTATAATTAGGACCAAATTAAAAGTTAAATTGGATCTTATATTAAAGACCGGAGGTAATAATTTTTTAATTTATTCAAATTATTCAACTAGTCTTTTATTAAGGATAGAAGTATTAATTCTATTTGTAAATCAATGTATCGAAAAAATATATTAAATTAACACACTGCAACAGCTGACTGACATCATGACGCAAAGCAAAAGTTACACGCGCACAAACAAAATTAAAAAGCAATGTTACTTATCCTTCATCAATTAGTTCTATGTCCACCATAAGCTGTCTTACACGAGTGATAGAACAGAAGTCTAATTGATTGACCAACTGCTATAACATATCCAATCACATCTGCAACGACATAAATAGTACGTCAAAACAAATAGGATTGAACTTAATGAATTTAACCATTCAGCCATGGACGCTTAGTAAGGATCTTTGTGCATGGTGAATAACCAAATTTCAATGGAAATGTGTTTAGTCCACATAATATAAAGAATCCATATTCGAATTTTTATTAGAAGAGATATTTTACACAAACATGATTACTTTCAATTAATGAAGGGATACATTAACAGGAACCGTCATATCATCCAATTATTATGCCAACGTACTAACTAAACAATGATTAAGAAACTATAAACTGAATATAATTAAAACACTTGAAATCGAATCCAAAATAAGGATTTTGCCCATCATTGGCAGCAATAGTATGGTATTCATGATCAGTTGTGAGGTGTTTTTCAACATCAAAACATGCATGATCTGCCTGCAATGCAACACGAATGACAAAATTATACACCATAAAAAGGGTTTTATATTTAGAACAGAAAAAATAACTAATTAAAATCAAGATCCATTCATGCGTGTATAAAATGGCTATCATCACTATCCCCCGACACATTATTCTTATATAAGATTATAATGCTTAGAGAAAACATTTATCTAAAAAATAATCACTAATGACTAAAAAATAAAAAAAATAGCCAAAAAAAAAAGAATTTTCCTAAACTAGTTGAACTAATAACCTAGTTAATTTTTTGGTAAACAAATAATCTAGTTAAGTTTTCTGATTTTTTCATTGAATTTAACAATATAATCTTATAAGTCCTAACCTTTCAAATTCATATTTGACCCAAAAAAACCTTTTAATTACGTACCTGTACAGTTGTACCAGTTTAATTCGTTTTGATGACTGACTTAATATAGATATTGACATATGTGATTTTTTTCCTATAATAGGATCTGACAAGTCTAGTCAGCTTTCACTTTCTTTTTCACAAATGCTATTTCTTTTGCTCCCAAGTCATCTCAAAATATTTCACGAATATTTCTTTTTTAAAAAAATTTGATGTTTATTAACAGTTTTTTCCTTCTTACTGTTCAAATACAAATATCAACCATTATCAAACTAATGGAAAAAGACGATTATCAATATCTTTAACCAGTTAAAAAGTATATTTAGATATGTTATATGGGAAAAAGTAGATTTAGATATGAATTTTTTATATCTCATTATCTTAAATGGAAATACTACAAATTTAACATTAATTAACATTAATAAGTATAAAAGTTAATTTAAAAGGCCTATGCTTATTTAATTAACATTGAACAAGTATAAAACTTATAAATTAATATATTCACTATATTACCTAGAAGTATAAAAATGTCATTTTTTTAAAAACAAATTTAACAAAATTATGCGAGATTTTATATATTATACTACAAGAAAATTAATAAAATTAGTTTATACATACATTATTAGTACAAGTACAATTTAAATGGTTTCTCTTTATTTTATAAATATTATTTTTAAATTTCCGTCTATTTTTTTGGTCTGAATCTGAATTTAAATTTAAATTTTTCATATACAATTTAATTAATAATTTTCCATTCAAAATTTTCTATAAATTACTATCTATGTTATCCATACAGCGCAGAGATATATTAATAAATAAATAAACCCCAATAAAATAAATAAATAAATAATTATTATTGAGATAAAAATATTGCGGTCAAAGGTAACATTCACGTTACACGGATAAGAAGGACAGAAATAGAAATGGTAGAATGTTCAAATTTAGAAGTTGTAAAGACCATATTATCCTCCCTTCTCTACCGTAGGAGGGTCCGAAAATAGCGGTTCGAGGAAGGGGAAGCCAGCCACAATCGAAATCGATTCGACTTTTTTTTCCTCCCAAAAAAAAAAAAAAAACTTCCCTTTTCGTCTTCATCTTCTTTCAATGGTCGGTCCCTCTACGTCCTGTTTCTGGGTGTTTCGTTTTATATAAACAGCGCGCGACTGTCTGGTTTCTCTGGGTGTTTCTCTGTTCTTGTGGGTTTTCGGCTGTTTTCGGTTGTCCGGTCGGCTGAATGTTGAAGAAGAGTTCGACGACATGAGGAAGAAACTCGACACTCGTTTCCCTGCCGTATGTTCTATATCTTCGCCTTATCATTTTATTCGGTTTATAATTTTTTTTCCTCTCCTGCTCATTGGGGTTTCATATATTTTGGGTTTTCGGTGTTTGTAAGTGTCTATTGACAACATGCGTATGTTGATGGGTTGTTGTCTTGGTGCAATTTATTTGTATGGCACGCATGAGGGATGCGCTTTCTGTGGTTTTTCGTTTTTTCTTTTTAATTCGCTTAATATATTCAATTTCTTCTCTATGTTGGGGGGCTTACCGGATTGTCATGCTTTCTCTACACATTTGCTATTGCCCCTGGACATGATATTTGTTTGAGATGATGATTTTTATGCTTATATTCATTGGCTGTGTTAATAAATAAGAGGTTTGGCTATCTTGTCGACGAAAAGTGTCTTTCACTTAAGTTCATTATGGATTTGTCTGAATTAAGATTGGTTATTTTCTGGGTTATTTTTTAGGAAAAGTTTCTTGGTTTATTTTCAAATGTTATTAGATTTTGAACGTGGTATCCTTTCTGTCCTTGTTTCACAACACAGTGTGGTTGATTGTGATCAAAGTTGATAATGCCTTTACAAGAATTAGAGCAGGACAGCTAGCTGTTCCATAACATTCTTATCTGATATCCCCCCCCCCCAAAAAAAAAAAAACTTTAGTTGTGATGTCACTGTTTTTCTTTTTCTTGGTCCAAGTGCCATTTCACTCATTTTTTCAATCAAACCGAATTATTTTCTTATTTTATTTTTTTCCATATTTTTTTTTAACTAGTTGGACTCATCATTGACAGGCTCGGATTAAGAAAATTATGCAATCAGATGAGGATGTAGGGAAGATTGCCATGGCCGTGCCTCTTCTTGTTTGTGAGTAGTTCTGTCTAAGTCATGGTATTTTTTGTCACATAGTGTAGGGAATATGTGGCAAGTTATCTCTTGCTTATGATAATGTTTTAACTATTTGCAGCTAAAGCACTAGAGCTCTTCCTGCAAGATTTATGTGATCGGACGTATGAAATAACATTGAGAAGAGGGGCAAAGACAATGAATTCTTTTCATTTGTAAGTGTTGTTTATACTGATTAATTTTGGTTCAATGAATTCTAGTATGTTCCCTTTGTAAGTATGGTACACAAAAATGTTTTCTTTCAATTTTATGTTGCTGTTTTTAATGAAGTTCTAGCAAGAATGGGAGTGTTCCAAATGTAATGATGATGTGTTTTGTCCATATAAGCCTTTGGATTTTTCTGGTTTTGGATTCAAGATGCCTAAAATCATAAATACACTCCTATCTTTAATTCCCTGCATCAATTCTTCTGCATATGTATCTGAAAACAAATATTTGCAAATGAAAAGGCAGAGAAGTTGGGATGTATTGCTTTTGGAAAATTTGCTGTTTATTTGCCTTTCCTTCTCCTTTCTGTATCTAACAGCTTAAGTTTCTTGTATCTTTGCCTTTGTAGAAAACAATGTGTACAGACTTTTAATGTCTTCGATTTTCTGAAAGATATTGTCAGCAAGGTTCCTGATTTAGGTGGCCACGTTACTTCTGGAGATGACCGCACTGTCTGTAAAAGAAGGTTTGTGGTTTTCTTTTATTGGTCAGAAGATTCTTTTTACTGGAAAAACCTTTCTGTATGCTGATTTTTGGAAACTATTTTATCAGGAAGGTTGATGATGATGGAAATGACAGTGACGATGATGCCAAAAGAAATAAGATGGTAACATATCAATTCTTTTTTCAGTTTTTGTTCAAGAAGGCAATTTTTCTCTCTCCAAATTTTATCGTCAAACTCTTGTCAATTGTGCATGGAATGTCTGATTCTGTGATTGAGTGAATAATGCAAAGCACTATGTGGTTATCTTTATGTTGAATCTTATTTAGTGATGAGGTTAAGCAAAGTTTTCAAGTGGGCTATTACTCTTTCTGGTAGTCAGTAGTCACTTAAAATTGATGCCCAAGCTCTTTCCTTTCTGGGTCCCATTGTCCTAAAGACATAAACCTGTTTCCTGTCAAAACTGTTGGCCATGGAGTTTGCACTGGAATCTATTTAGTCACTTTATGGATCTTTTGTTTCGCAATTTGGTCAATTTAGGATTTGGATGCTACTGGAATTAACCAAGGCATCTGGTCCTCAGTTTTATGGTCCCATTTTAGTACCCTAGATGGGTTAGCATACTTTCTCTCTCTCTCTTTTTTTTTTAAATACTCCTTCCAATGCTAAACGTACGAGTTAGTTGAGCGAATTGCTTTGGTTCTAAATGTAACATTTTAATCTCTTTTGTTTTCCATATTTATTATTTTTTAAAACCATTCCTAATGATTGCACATATCAATAGGTGTCATCGTAATTTTCAATATAAGTGATTAAAATGATGGGTGTTTCCTTAAGGCATTTCAGCCTAGCTTTTGGTGTCTACCTGCAGTCTCCTAGATGGATTAGGATACTATTTTTATTTGATCATGATTTTGATATGTTAATTTGGTAGCCCGTAAAGAGGCCTGGAGACCAACTATTTAGTTAAATTGATATGTTGAATTTGCTTGATTTTATTTTTGGATTTCATTCTTAATTGTTATCAGCTTTAGCACTTGAGGTGAATTGGTTGCCTGAGGAGTGTTACTATATGAAGTATTTTGAACCGTTTGATGTTATTTCCTTTCTTTTGCTGAGTACGGTACCCTTTCATGATTTGCAGGCAGAAAATGTACATCATGCTGGTGGTAGGGGAAGAGGACGGGGCAGAGGCAGGGGTCGTGGCCGAGTAAGTAGAACAACAGATCGAGAGATTAATGCACATGTCAAATCTGAAGATGATCATCATAATGATGCATTGATGCGCACTCACAGCAATGAAAGCATGGAAATTGGTACGGAACATGACGTGAAGCCTTCCATTGGCAAGACATCAGAAGCATGCTTTAGAAATTTTGACTTAAATATGGATCCCGTGGAGGAGAACGGAAATTCACCAACCAGCATGGCTCCTGTCCAACCTTGTCCATCAGAAAAACCAACGTCAATTTGTCCATCTCAAAAACCAACGACAACTTGTCCATCTGAAAAGCCAACCCCAGAACCGAAACACGAAGAAATCCCAGGCTGGTCGCTGTCTGATGTGGAAAAAATGGCCATTGATCCTGTCCAACTGGTCAACATGAATGGGAGGTTGGATGAAGATGATGAAGATTATGATGAAGAATGTTGAAGTTAGTGATGGAGAACTAGGGTTAGATTTAGGCTTCAGAGTTATGACAGGTCCTTAGTTGTTAGGGAGACTAACTAACTAGGAGGTAGATGGAGATTGAAATGCAGTCAGGTTAGTTTTAGGCTGACATTATTAGCTTTCATTTCAGATACTACAAATATGTAAGGCAGTGTGATACTATGTTCTTATTGATTAGTTCACCTTTTAGTCCTTTAAAATGTGGCATTCTAGGAGATAGTTTCTGTTGCATAGGGCATTGATCAACTTTTTATTTGATTAGTTGTTTTTGGGCTGAAATAAATGGCTGAAATATATGGTTATTACTTTAAAATGGGAAATTGAATCTTTGTAAAAAAATATAGGTTAAACGCGAGAAGATACTCTAAATAATTCTATGCGGTCTCTACATTTTTTGGGGGGTATTTATGTTCATCTTTTTGTGCCCATTGTTCAATGAGTGATGTTGAGTTCACGCCTTGTCTTTATCTCTTAACTGGAGATTGATGAACAAGATCTTCATATAAACATGACTACAGGTGTGTTTGACATCATGTTTGAGAGCCGAAACTGACTTCTTAATTGGTAAAAGCTGGGCTTGTATGAAATTGTGATGTTTGGTTTAGTGATTTGGCAATTTGACTTTTTTGTCTCAAATGAGCTTTTTACATAAGCTGCATAATCAGTGCGGTAGAGAAAACTATTGGAGAGCATTTATCATTGGACTTTAAATTCTTTGCCTGTTTAACCCTCTTTCACATACATATCTTCTCTATGAAAAAACAAGAAAAAACAGAGCCAACGGCAACTGATTTACACACACGCATATCCATTATATATATTCAATTAAGTATTTCAGTATTTTTTTTTCAATTTCTTAATAATAATAAATTAATTTCTTTATTTCTAATAATTTTATTTAATATTTTCTTTATAATTGTCACATTATATACATTTAATATTAAATATATATTACTTAATAAAATTTGTGTCCTTTTAATCATTTTGTATCTAGACTCACTTTTTTATTAATCATCCAAACAACGTTTAATTTCTCAAACTGATTTTTTTTACAAAAACCAATCCAAACATAAATCATAATTTACCATCTGACTTTTACTCAATCTGACTTTTGTAAAAGTCATATTGAAAAAAAGTTACTTCTGCTACTGCTAATCCAAAGTTTTTGGCATGTGAAAAATTTAATTTTTCTTAATGGTCCTAATTTATTTTTAAAATATTTGAATATAAAATTATATAATTATGTCATTGAGATTGAGTACTTTTAGTATTGCTCATATTTAACCTGGACCCCTGCAATTTTATATTTTCTATTTTTAATTTCAGTTAAAACTTTCTTAAAGGAATTAATAACTAGAAATTATTTTATATAATATTATAATTAACAGACGTTATTATTGAATAATGTAGATTTATCATTCAAAAATTTGTTAACAACCAAGGAGCATCCAATGAAAAATTTTAGTATAGAGAATGACAATAAGGTCATGTTGCTCAATTTTTATTAGGACTTCTTAATAATTAAATTTATTTATTAAAACTTTATAGTAATTTTTCTTAAAATATTAAACTGCAATGTCCGTATTAAAATATTTATATAGTGAAAGAACTATGGTTAAATCTTAATAGTAAAATTTTAACTATGTGCGAGTAAATTAAACTATAAGAAACGTGATCAATAACACATACTAAGTTTGAAATATATTTTCTTAGTGTACAATAATGTCTTGAAGAGACAATAGACAAAATAAAAAAAAAAAAAACATAGTAATTTGAGCTTACCTATTGTCTAACTCACACATAAGAAAAGTAGGTGGCGAGGAGATTCAGGTAAAACCCCATAGTGCTTGAAGGGCTTCTTTGGCTAGATGACCTGCAACACCATTTGCACCACAGGCAGTCAGGCACAAGAAGAAGAAGAAGAATCAATTGTACATCAATCTCTGGTTAGCATCTCCCTTGTTTGGTCCACCAAAGGTTTTCCTTATGCCAGAGGATTCTCTCAAATATTGTACTAGTAAAAGAAAAAAAATGTTACTAGAAATGAATAACAACATACAAGATGCAGACCCAACTTGTCGAAAAAATTCCAACAATATATAAATTTTAACTTGGATTTCTATTTCTATATATATATATATATATATATTAAAAAACTGCTTTTCAAACCCCGCGGGGTTAGGTCAGTTAGCTGGGGTTGTTCTAACTTAACCACGGATCTCGGGTTCGAGACGTGGGAACGTAACACTCCAAGAGGCCAGGTGTGCCGTCCGAAAGGATCCTTGCAAGCCCCTGAATCCAGAATAGTCTGGGGTCATTGTCACGGCTGAAAGACGCCTGGGATACTGGATGGAGTAATCAAAAAAACAAAAAACTGCTTTTCAAGACTTTTTATGGTTTGCTTGAGGTGATGAAGAACCATGTGTCTGACTTCATTTGTGTCACAGACCGTAACTTTTTGATTTATGGTTTTGCTTTGCTGATGGATCTTTATGCTCAGAAGGCGTTCCAAATGATCACAACACATCAATGCTGTGTTCTCTAAAGGGAAAAAAATGATAATATTCGATGCAAAACTCGCAATTTTAGAAAGAATTACGGGAGAAGTAAAAATCATACTACATAATTATCTGACTTAATTCACTGCGCTGGGTAGCACTAGCTTGTAACCCGAGTGGGGGCATTAAGGTGATGGAACATGATTCTGGTATGCCTTGGTTAGGTTGAAGGAGGCAATTCGCTGGCTTGCCCGTTCCAAGTGGAGAGTTGAGCCATGAGTCCTAAGCGAAGGCTTGAGGCTCGTGGTTCCTGAAAGAGAGGGCACCGCGTGAGGCTGGTTTCACAGAGCAGCGACAACCTCTGGCTCCTCACAGTGGAAGGATCACAGGCTGCCGCTCCTCCAACCCACTACGCCTGGCCAGCCTGGCTGCTTGAACCATTACTTTTTTAATTTGACCCCCTAACGATGCTCTGTTTCTGACCTCTGCCAATTTGGCCTATATAACAGAGGAGGGATCACATCTTCCTAACAAATTATACTCAAATTTCATACTAATGAGTGTACAGTAATTTGATATTCAATTAGTGCTGTGAAGACTTGCACAGAAACTCAATTTACTAGCCAAAGATTGATGTAGACTTCTCAACAACAAAAATAGCAGGTATATATGAATTTCCAATTTCATTGGGCATCCAAATTCACTAAATATGCCAATCACCATGAATTTCACTTACATGAAGTATTTCTTAAGTGTGAGATAATTAACTCACGCAATCTGAGTTTCAATCAGTGACGGTGGACCTAAGACTCAAGATCGGGGGGCGACCCCCCAAATACAGTCGAATTTAGACCTAGCGGGGTCAAAAATTAGATATTACAAACCTAATATATACTCCTCTGGCCTTATTTATAGGACAGAGAGAGAAGTTTTTTTCTGTACTATTCATAAGTCATTTCATTAAATTTTCAGCGTGAATATAGTATTTTGTCCTTTATTTATTATAGTGGAGGTAGTTATCTCTTTTGAAGGGTATATATATTAAATATGGGTAAAGTTAGAAAATTATTATATTTTAATGAAGAGTTAATACGTTTAAATGTTTTCCTTGATCTGTGTGAAATATGCCGAATGTACCTTATAAATAGTATAAGAGGAGTAATTACTTGCTTATCAAAATATATTAATAATTTCTGAAATTTAAAAAACAAACCAACCTAATAGATAGTGCAGATCTTCCCAGATTTTGATTATCAGTATGTAGTAAGTAATATGGATTTTTTTATCGTGACTTTTTAAAAAATAAATCAACCTAGTAAATTATGTTTTGCACAATCTTTCTTCATCGACTGAAAATGTGAACCTGTTGCCTTGAGAAATGCCTCATCTGGCAAGTGACCATGTCTTGTTAGACCCTGAAAATCAGCCAATAACTCTTCTGCCACTTCTTGTTGCTTCATTGAAGATGAAATCAGTTCTTCTGAAGTTGGTGAAGGGGTAGTGATATTGGAAGTTGGTGAAAGTACTGCTTCAGGTACATACAGAGGAAGGGACACGCGTAAAAAGTGATAACAATTTCTGTTTGAATACTTAAAATTGGTGAAAGTTGGGAAGTCATAGTAACAAATTGCAATTTATTTGTAGTTCGGAGACATATTCAATTGAAATTTTGAAGTGATTAACACACAAGGGACATGGAAAAATACATTAGTTGTTAGGACCAGTTTAAAAGATGTAGTGTAATCCCATAAAGAAGCAGATGATCAGTACCTGTATATGGGACCAGCAACTTTAGCATCTTAGGTTGTCTTCTATATAGTGTAATCCCATAAAGAAGCAGATAATGAACCTACCTGTGATGAAGTTCCCACTGTTGAATCTTCTGGCGCAGGATCTTTACTGAAGACTAACCTTTGCTATTTCGCATTAATTGACAATTTATATATATTAGTTTCTAAGTTTAACTACGGTGATGAACTTAATCTTGTGCACCTAATGTAAAGGAAAGTAACAGGACTCAGATACACCTCTCTGGAGTCCATTGAACCAACTGAACAAAAATTTTGCTCTTGAAGGCCTTCTGTATCAACTATTACATCAAATTCTTTTGATTCCGTTGCGTCTTAAACCTCTGCAACATTTCTGTAGGTTTTCGGGCATACCTGGAGTCTGCAATAAGGTCAGGTTGCCACGCGGAGATCCGATCACGGGGTGGAGTCGGATTTAAGACACACAGCAAATACACACTGGGAGAAGGTGAAGAAGAGAGAACAGAGGAAGGAGTTTTTGGAGAGAAAAGGAAAAACTGTAGTCGTGCGTCCAACTGACCATCCGGTTCCCACTTAACTGCACGTTCCAAATGTTCAAAAAACAGAAAAACTGCCTCCTCCGTAACTGTTCCCTCCGTTTTTGCCAATCATATAAAAAAGGCTAAAATTGCAGTTAAGGACCCATATGTTTTGTGATTTACACCAGGACCCCAAATGACACTGGGCTTGGGTCCAATCCACCAAGGGTGGACTGGCCCATTTTCTTACATCTCCCACTCACACTTGGTGGATTAGATGTCGCGGATCTAGTCTCTTCACCTTCCCTCAATTTCATACTTAGTGCTTTGCCGTGACCGCGTGGGCATGACGTCTTCGCTTAGGTCCCTGTACTAGAAATCCCTTTTGAAGGATCAGCACAAGTCACCCTCTCCT